CTGGTAATCATCTTTATTGAATAGACTATATGGACTATGTTCAGGTACCTGGTGACCGGTTGAGATTATTTTGCATTCCCTAACTAGATGCATGTAATGAACCTCTGTCTATTAACGAAAATTGTACTTGTAGGGACATATTGACACAAATGCTAAAATTAAGGCAGATAAATCTCTTAAAGTTATATGGCTGGCTTCGAGGACATTTGACTCTTCTGCTCAGGTTATGAATGAAACTGGTGGTTCGTACACATTCTCTGTTAAACTGCTTTGTTTTATTAATTGGAGGTTCGAATGCTTGCAGATATTTATAGATGCATTTCACGACCATTGGGTTCCATTTTGAAGTAGATGATGACTCCATTCCAATCCAGGTTTTATCTTCAACCAAACATTAGTTAGTCCCAACAATCTTTATGGTTGTATAAGCCCATATATAAGCTTCTCAACTTGTTACATTACATCACCCACTACACGTGTAACGCACGTGCCTTCACTAGTGATAGGAAATGCATAAGAAATTTGATTCTAAAAGTGATGAAGTGATATTCATTAGGTATTCAGAAAATAGTCGGGCCTCTAGAATACACAATATGAGGACTCAAACTAGGGATGACAACGGTTCGGGTTCGGGGTTAGTTCGGCCAAAACCATAACCGCACCATAACCACGAAAGTCGATTCGGTTCGGCTCGATTAATATTTCGGTTCGATTCGGTTAATAACTACGAAAATAAATTATTTTTTATAAATCCAAACTCCAACCGTCAAATTGAAAAAAAAAATGAAGAAAATTCAATAAAAATAAAAAAAACATGTCAAGACATCTGAAAGATAAAACACATGTTCAACAGAAAGCATGCTTAATCAAATAAATCCCAAGATCTCAAATATGTTCCATTAAAAAAAGAAAACTAGACACCTGAATCACTTTGAAGACTTAAATCGATCTGAAATTAGAGAAATTGGAAAGAAATCAAAACTAATCATAAGACTATCAATGTTATTCATAAACAAATCTTTATCAATCTTTATGTAATGCCCATTACAGATTCAACTGAAAGATTGCTAAATCAAACGTATCCCATGATTTTAAACATGATAAATTGTGAAAAATAAAGCTCGGATGCATCATGAAAACTCAAAATTGACCGGAATTGGGGTAACTAAAGAAAAAACCAAAACTAATCATTAAACTACCAATGTTAATTGAAAACCAAACTTCATAGATTCTTCTTCATTAACCATTGCAGATTCAATAGAAATATTGCTAAATTAAACAAATTCCAAAATCTCAAACATGTACAATTCCAAAAACTAAACATCGGAATCATCAAGAACACTCATAATCACCTCGAAACTAGGGAGGAAGAAATCGACACTTACGGGAAAGAG